TGGGGAAATTAGCCCAAGGTTTAGCTGTCATCACTCTCTCCCAGGGTGTGCTTGTCAAAGAGATATTCTGCCATGCCAGATTCGGGGGCTCCCATCTTGCGCAAGTTGGTTACGTAGTCACCCAATTCTTTGATGGATTTCACCTGCTCATTCAAGTAATGTGTCGCAATGAAGTCACACAAGTGGGGGTCGTTTTTGTCAGTAGCCAGTTTGTGCAGTTCCAGTAGTGACTGGTTCACATTTTTTTCCAAGTGTAATGCACACTCCATGGCATTCAGCCCATTCTCCCAGTCATCATGGTCTGGTTTCTTGATGTCCTGAAGGAAGATGCGGCCACTGCGTTGGTTTTGCAGCTTCATCAGTTTCTCAGCATGCTCCCTCTCCTCATGAGATTGGTGAAGAAAATATTTGGCAAAGTTCTTCAAAGCCACATCATCGCGGTCAAAGTAGTATGACATGGACAGGTAGACGTAGGAGGCGTAGAGTTCCAGGTTGATCTGGCGGTTGATGGCGGCCTCCGAGTCCTGGTGGTAGTTCTGGCGCACCTGCGAGGTGGACGCGGTCGTCATGGCGGCGGCTGAGGATGGGCAGGGACGGCGGCGTGGCGACGGCGGCCTCGAGGAGGTCGGAGGGCGCGGCGAGGCAGTGGCAGAGGTGGAGGGCTGGCTCGGAGCGGTCAGCCGGGGCGAGAGACGAGCGCCGGGTTCCGTCCAAGCACTGTTGAAGCAGGAAGCCGCGGCGACTCTCGGCGCAGGACGTCTCGAGTGTCATTTTTATGTGCAGAAGTTTCAGATTTTGGAGCATTTTGGATTTCAGATTGCTGGACTTAGGATGTTCAACCCGTAGTAACTGGAAATAAGTTGGTTTGATTGTGAAGGGTCTGAGTAAATACTTTCTGCAGGTTGCATTAAATTTGAGTTTATAACATTTAACAGAACAGTTAATCTACTAGCCATCTGTCTGTCTGATCTAAATATTACATCTCTGTCTTTGATAGCCTCTGCCTTAGTAGCTTTAAATAGAGTTCACTGTATTTCAAGATAAAACACAATAACTGTGGTTATTGTATTGTATTGAATTGTATTCATTTGACTAAAGGATTTATGAACATATAGGCTGAAATAAATTCATTTTGGAACTGGCACCAATTTTTCCCCCCAATTTTATTTTGAGACATTAAGAAGGGTAACAAAAGGATGGAGAATAATATATACCCACCTATTTACCTCCCAGAATTGTTGTTGTTATACTTGCTTTTCTATTCCAAAAAATTATTTATCAAGTTTCTTTTTCTTTTTTTCCCAGCATAAACCTTCTTTTTTTTTTGAGTTGGAGTCTCACTCAGTCGCCCAGACTGGAGTGCAGTGGCCGCTCTTGGCCACCCCAACCTCTACCTGCTGGGCTCTGGCAGTCCTTCCGCCTCAGCCTTCCAAGTAGCTGGAACTACAGGTGTGTGCTACCACGCCCAGCTAATAAACCTTCTTTTACTTTAAAAACATAAAAACAGGTTAGTCACACACTGTATTTAGAGTTGAGGTCCTCTTTGTTCCTTTCTTTTAAGAGATGGGGATCTCATATTTCCCAGGTTAGTCCTGAACTCCTGGACTCAGGTAATCCTCCTACATTGGCCTCCCAAGTAGCATAGACTACAGGCACGTGGCATTGCACCTAGCTGGAAACGTCCCTCGTGTTATCCACTCTCAATCTCATTACTGTCCCCCTCTCCATAGGGAATAATCACTATTATAGAAATTTTTAAAGTAATATGTAAATTTTATGATTTTTAAAAACTAACATAATAATTTTGTATATTAACTTAAAAAAAAAGCCATGAATTTATTGCAAATCTAGAAGTGCCAGAATGTCACTAACACAGAACAAATCAGTAATCTTGTTTTCTTCCAAACATTTAAAGCCTTGATTATTGTCATACTGAAATCGACATGCTTTTTTTTCCCTGCATTTAGCTGAAGGAGCAGAGAATAGACCTCTGAGCTTTCAGTTATAAATATTCAGTTGTACTGACCATTCATAGTAAAAATAGGTTGTAAAGTGCTGAAGTCATGTACGTCTACAAAACTGCCACAGACTCAGAGTTCTCAAGCAGTGACAGAGTTGCTGTATCTACCTTGTTTTACGTGTGTGTATTTTTGGCAGACACTTGGTCATTTTCTCCCTCACCCTCCCCAAGGCTTTATAAATCATTCTATCTCTATGACTGATAAAACGCTTTACAAAATGTAGCAGGTGGTGATGAACTGTGTTACTTTCATTTCAGTGCAGAGAAATATTCAACTTTGTGTGCATAACTTATTTTTAAAGAAATGATCATACTTTAATTTTTTTGGTATATCTTAGGTTGGGAGGGGAAATTCATGAAGATAAGGTTGGAGTCAACTTGTATGTGTACTCTGAGAAAAGCAATAATGAACAGGACTGAGTTTTTTATGTTTCTTTTAGAGATCTGCATCCTGACCTGAAAGGACAGTTGAAGGAACTCAGAAAGCATCTAGTGGAGAGCACCAATGAAATGGCACCTTTAAAAGTTTGGCAGTTACAAGGTAATAAAAATGTGGTGAAGTCATTGGCCAGCTTTTTGGCTAAATTTTGTGGCATTAAAAGTGAAGAATTCTAATTTAATTGTGTATAGTTACATGATTCTGAGAGTACCACCGATTTTAAAGGTAAGAGTGATTAATTATGATTACTCAGAGAAGAAAGTTATTTTGTAGACAGTACTAGGTACAAGTAATATTATATAAACAAATGCCAGATATTTCTTTGTGTGACCAGATATATCTTATAATACTAGGAAAATATCGCATAGTCTTTAAGTTCCTGTATGTGTAAATTTCTTCAACTGAGTATTTGTAGAGTGTTAAAGGTATTGAGTTTTTTTCCAACATGATTTACTAAAAATCTTAATGCAGTATTTTGTGACATGTTGTAAATTCAGAAAAGGGAACAGAATTTGGGCTTGATTTTATTGTCTAAGTGCGTTAGTGTGTTCTATGCAGGTGTATCAGGAATGGTTCAGTAACATTTTAGGGATCTAGGAAGTGAGTGAAACCTGAAGTTAAACCGTGGACACTCTGTGGGATGGTTGCATTCTGAGATGTTCTTAATCACCCAGGAAGTATAATGGGAAGCGAATGGTTTTCTTCGTTCCCGCCCCTCCTGGCGTTGGAGTGATTAACTTTGTGTCTGATGTTGTTGCAGATCTCAGTTTCCAGACTGCTGCCCGAATCTTGGCTGCTCCTGTTGAGTTGGCTTTGGTGGTGATGAAGGATCTTAGTCAGAGTTTTCCTGCTAAAGCCAGGTATCACAGAGCACGGCTTTGCTGCCTTCTTCTCCCAGTATGACACCCAGGTATCCTCATGTTTACATGCCAGATGCGGTGATTAAGATACAATTGGCAGCCGGGCTCGGTGGCTCAGCCTGTAGCACCGCATTTTGGGAGGCTGAGGGGAGTGGATTGCCTGAGCCCTCAGGTTCGAGACTCGCCTGGGCAACTTGGTGAGACCTCAGCTCAACAATAAATAAATTTAAAAAATTAGCCAGGCGTGGTAGCGCGTGCCTGTAGTTCTAGCTACTTGGAAGGCTGAGCAGAAGGGTCACCGGAGCCCAGCTGGTCGAGGCTGCTGTGGCCAGAAGCATGCCATTGCACTCCAGTCTGGGTGACAGAGTGAGATTCCAACTCAAAAAAAAGAAATAATAAAAAAAAACCATAAAATAAAAAAGATACAAAAAGCTTAGAAAGTTGAAATTCTCCCTGCCACCACTACTGCTGTGGATGGTGCTCTGTTCTGAGAAGGCAAGACCATGTTTTGTGTGGCTGAAGAGGCAGATACAGGTTGTGCTCCTGGTGCTGCCACTTCCTGCTTGTGTGATCTTTGTCAATAAACAACTTCTCTTTATTTACCTTACTTTCCTTGGCAGTGGTCTGGGATTAAAAATACCTGCCTTTGAGGATTGGATGAATCACAAAATATATACCAATGTTACTAATCTTGAGTTTGACACAGACCATAGTGGTTTTCTTTAAAGTGTTTCATAGATATCATTTTATTGAATCTTGATGAAGAAACTGATTCACTGAGGCTATGTAGACGTGTTCATAGTGACAGAATAATAATAATGCAGTTTTCTCTCTCTTTTTTTTTTTAAGTCAGAGTCTTACTCTGTTGTCCACCCTAGAGTGCAGTGGCACAATCACAGCTACCACAACCTTGACCTGCTGGGCTCAGGTGATCCTTTCACCTCAGCCTTCCAAGTAGCTGGAACTACAGATGAGCACCACCATGCCTGGCTAATTTTTTGATTGATTGTAGAAATGAGGTCTCACCAAGTTACCTAGGCTGCTCTGGGAACCCTGGGCTCAGTCAATCCTCTCACCTCGGCCTCCAGTCAAAAGTGCTGGGATAATCGGGCATGAGCCACTGCCCCCGACTGAATGCAGCTTTCTGACATTGCATTCATTCTGTTCTGTAATGTTGCTCCATATCTCATAAATGCAAGGCAAAATTGGTTTTAAAAACCAACTTTTTGGAAATTACTGACTTCAATGATTGCCAGTTTTTTTTATTAACTCAATGTTTTGACTTCTGATAGGAGATGTTTTATAAACAAATGTATTTGATTATCATGATTTATGATATTACAGTAGGACTTACACATCATATCATAAATTATTTTTTTTTTTTTTTTTTTGAGTTTAAGTCTCACTCTGTCGCCTAGACTGGAGTGCAGTGGCACGCTCCTGGCCATCGCAGCCTCAACCTGCTGGACTCCGGCGATCCTTCCGCTCATCCTCATAAATTCTTATGTAGTGAATTCTCATGTAGACCAGCATGCTACTTGGAGATATAATACATGGAGGAACCCCTATCTACCATGAGTGCTTAAGTGGGATGAGCAGTCTGCTGCCTTAGTTTATTTAGCATTGTCCTTTAGTCTTGAGTGTTAGAACTCATACACAGTAATTGGGTTGCATATATTTAACTAAGAACTTGGAAACAACTGCACTTGCTTTAAAATGCTGTTATTACTGCTATTTTTCTTTGATATTATAGCTTATAGTAATGAAAAATATGCACATCTGAGAGAGGAGAAATGTGCTTATCAATTGTAGAGGTTTAAGGTTTTTTTCCTTTTAATATTTTATAATTTATTGAGCAATGTGTTTCACTTTTTAAAATATGGAAATTGATGACATTTATATCAGATGTTAAACCTAACCTGATAATGTTTTTATTTCCTTAGAGCAATAACGAAAACAGCTGTGAATTCGGAACTTAGAATGGAAGTAGAAGAGAATCAGAAGGTAGTAACTAAGGGAAAAAGACTGACCTTTCTGTTTTGGATTGTATCTGTAAAGATGAGGAACTCTGAATTTAATCAATGGTTTTTTGTGTTTTTTTTGAGTTGGAGTCTCACTCTGTCACTCAGACTGGAGTGCAGTGGC